GGTCGTCTTCCCATTGAATCCAAACACAATTCATTCATCTCTAAAACCACCAAAAAAGGAAGAAGGATTAACAATGCCGCACATCTCAACTTCAGATCTCAATCCTCACCAAATACAATCGAGAGAGAGAGAGGGGCCTATATCGTCGCTGGTAGGCGCAGGAGCAGGAGCGAGGGATTGAGCCAGGCGGCGGGCAACACAATGGCGATGACGAGGGCTGCAATGGCGACCATCACTCCATGGGAGAACCTATACACCTCCATCTCTTCTCGCTCAATCTAGTCGAGACACTTGTAAAACGAAAAACAAAGAATCGCAAAATACTGGGCAAGAAAGGAGATCTCAGCTCGGTCTCTCTCTGAGACGCCTCTCGCAAAATAAGCACCCTCGCGAGTGTGACGCAAAGAGAGAAACAGAGAAGGGAAGATTTCGCAAGGATTCTTTCTGTAACATGAGAGAGAAGTTGAAAGGGACGCAGAGAGACAAAGAGATGAAGAGGGAGATGAGCGGCGGCAAAGCAGGAACTGGCGGTGGGGCCTATATATAACCTATTTAAATGAAAACGGGTTAAACAAATGGGTTTTCAACCCATTTTGACAGGTCCATTCAATAGCAATAATAGAAAAATTAAAAGAGAGAGAGAGAAGTTGCGCTTAATTCCAATTTTTGCATGGGAAAACAATTTGAGGTTGAACTAATGTGCTTATCTCTCTTTAATTCGGATAATGCTGGTTTTAAGATGATGTGGTAGATAATATGGGTTGAGAGGTCTTGGACTAATCCAGCAACTTTAGAGGAAGATTTATGTATTTACAACTGGTAAAGAATTTAAGACGATGCAAAAGAAAGACTTAAGTTTTCTATGATTAGTTGAACGGGAAATGTTGAACACGGTCAGATTGTGTGGCCACTTCATACGCTTGTCACTTTCTCCTATGAAATCTCTTAAACAGTATTATATTTCAAACTAAATTGAGAAAGAGCAAGCAAGCTAGTCTTAGGGCCCGTTTGGTAACATGCCAAATAGTAAAAATTTCTGTTCTTTTGTTCCCATAAATAGTTTGGGAACAGAAATGCGTTTGGTAAACTTTTTGTTCCTGGGCACATTTTTGCAAAAATTTGTGCCGAGAAACAAAAAGTAAAAAAAAGTTGCTTCTTGTTTCTCGGCACAATTTTGAGAATCAGTTTTTTTCCTTCTTTTTCTTTTTTTTCTTTTCTTATTTTTGTATTGTTCTTCCTTGGGCTGGGCCGGCCGCCGGTGGCCGGCGACCGGCGACCGGCCACAGCCCAGGGCCGGCGAAGGCGTCACGGCCCTCGCCGGCCGCCGGCGGAGGCGAGGGTCGCCCTCGCACGGCCCTGGGCTATGGCCGGTCACCGGGGACCGGCCATGGCCAAAGAAGAAAATGGGTAAAAAGAAAAAAAAATTAAACAATTCAAAATATTATTAAAATATTATTTGGGAACAGAAATTTTGTGTAGTTACCAAACGCATTTCTGTTCTTTTCTACTCTAGGAATAGAAATTTTGGACAGTTATCAAACGCCTTAAAATACTCAGAAATTATTTCCGGGCACAGAATAAAAAAATCATTTCTGTTCAGAAATAGTTCCCGGGCACAGAATGGTATTCATGCGCACCCTTAGCACTAGCAGTGATTCCTGCCTGTAACCCTCGCGGGACTTTAGAAGAAAAAAAAAAGAAAAAAAAATAAAATAATTCTGAATATTTTTTTTAAATCATAGAAATTCATCACAAGATTTTGTATTGTATGAAAGTATTTTGGCATTGTAATTTTTTTAAAAATTTATTAGAAACTAGTTTACCTAGATTTGATTAAATATGAAAGTGTTTTAACAATATGGGTCAAATATGGATCGAGAAATTTGCATTGCAATAAATTGGTCATAAACGAGTTAAATTTGTCAATTTGGGTCGAGCCATTTATGACCCTACCCAAATTCAACCCGACTCACCCATTTGACGGGTCTCTTCCTGAAACCTAATCAATTGGTTTCGGGTCGGTTCTAAATAAAACTAGGAACCGCCCCTTCTGCATTTGCAGGAGAATCCCATCGAACCTCAACGATTTTATGAATTGTTTGAAAAGGACACCCATGGAATTCGGTAACAGCCGATAATTTATCAATTAATGCCATGACTTTCATGTGGCTTGTATTGTGTAAATTACCTAGTCATGCAAAAGAGAGATTACCAAGATGAATTTATGTAAAACAGAGGGAATGGAACCTAGCGAGAAAATTTGATAAAGCTGCTCTTTATTAGAATTTGATCTTCCACGTATTTTTGTTGGGAAAATTATCTAAAAAGTCATAAACCTATTGCACTTTTGCCAATTCAGTTTTAAACTTTTTAAGTTTGCCAATTTAGTCCTAAACATTTTCACTTCTTGCCAATTGAGTCTATCCGGCCAATTTAGGCCGGCCGGCGCTGACGTGGCAATTTTTTAATATATATTTTTTGAAATTTATAATATTTTTTTCCTTTTTTTTTTTCTGCCCATCTTCCCTCTGGTCGGTTCGACGACCGACCAGAGGCGTGGCCTGGCGAGGTTGACCTCGCCGGCCTCTGGCAAAGCTTGCCCTCGCCGGCCACTGGTGAGGTGAATCCCAGCAACGGTGAGGTCGGCCTCGCCATGGCTGGTCGAGGCTCGATCTCGCCCAGATCCGCAAAGGTGGAGCCTTGCCCAGCCATGGCAAGGTCGGCCTCGCCGTCGCTGGGTTTCACCTCGCCCAACGATGGCGAGGTTAGCCTCACCTTGGCTGGGCGAGGTCGGCCTAGCAGCGGCGGGCGAGGTTAGCCCTCACCAGTGGCCCGCGGGGGCAATCTTCGCCAGAGGTTGACCTCGCCGGCCCACGCAAGAAGGCAGAAAAAAAATTATTAAAAAAATTCGAAAAAAATTTAAAAATTGCCACGTCAGCGTTGGCCAGACGGTCGGTGGCCACGTCAGTGCCAACCGGCCAAAATTGGCCGGATGGACTTAATTGGCAAGAAGTGAAAAGGTTAGGACTGAATTGCCAAACTTAAAAGGTTTAGGACTGAATTGGCAAAAATATAATAGGTTTAAGACTTTTTGGATAATTTTCCCTGTTTTTGTCTAGTATTAGTTAGTCCTCAACAGTTTTTTTGTAACTGACATTTGTATTTGTAGCAAGAGGACTATTTTCGGCCGTTGCTCAAAAGGTAGCCCCGGTTGCCAAATTCCATGAATTGGAATGCTTGTTTGGGAGGTCTCCGTAATGCTAGTATCTCACATTTTCCAACCATCACGTAGTTCCAATTTGTTTTTTGAAAAAGAAATGTCAAGTAGTTGTTCGTGCGTTAGTTTTGTCTCAGCGAAGAGGCATGTTGGAAAGACATTATTCTAGCTTTGTGGCTTTTCGCTCCTTACATATATGCATGTCCAGATATTGAACGACCAAGTGCATAAACGTGACTTTATGCCACTTGAACAAAAAAATCTCAATTCCATGGACATGTTCTCCGAATTGACAGACGGTCTGATAGTCACCATCATCTCCTTCTTGCCTTTAAAGAAGCCGCAAGAACGAGTGTACTATCCTGGCGATGGGGTTGCATATGGCATTCGACGGTGAACATCGAGTTCGATGAGAGGTTTTTTGTTAGGGACGATGCACCCGTTGAGACTCAACGTGTTCAAAAATGACAACGCATACCCCAATTCCAAAGTTAAAACTTTCTTCGACACGCGTTCGCTATTTTTGCAAGTCCACACTCGAAAATTCTGGTTTGTGGAAATAAAATAACTTCGCGCATTTTAGTTGTCCTTGAATCGGCCCATTATAGGTTAGTGGCAACTTCCGAATAAAAACTTATGTCCATAATTAATTGAGAAAATGATTTGCGATCGATAGGATACGGGTGAACCCTAATGAAGCGTAAGTGTCATCTTGCAAGAGAAATCACCTGTGTTCCCTCGGCAATCTGTTAACTCGCCTCGGGGGGCATTTAGCATTTTACCCATCGCGAGGGTCGCGATAATTGTACTTCCCAATAACAAATATCGAAACTCCGATATCCAAATCAAGCAATCACGAAATAATTAGTTTTTTCGGATTCAACAATAGTAACTTTTCATATAGAAAAGTGAGTCTCCGTATAGCCTGAGAAGTAAGTTTGCAATAATTGTGAGTAACTTTCTGGATCAAGAAAGTAAGTATTCTAGTATAAAAGAGTAGTATCTTTGCTAGGTAATTTCACGGCTTACGAAAAAATAAAAAAAATCTATCCAAAATTAGTTAGTTGCCTTGGAACATCTCTAGTAATTTGGGACATATCCTATCAAATAATTTTTTCCATGTTGATTTGTGATTTCAAAATTGCAAACGTAGGTTTCTTCCTTTCGGGAGATTAGTAATTCTGGAAAGGAGCGAGCAACTTTTTTTCGTAAACTTATGAGCAATCCGCAGATTCTAATAAAATGGTTAGTGTGATTTGGGAACACCAGATGGAATTTTCATAAAATCAATTTCCGGAAATTTTGAACGCAAATAAATCGGCAGGATGCTCGGATTTCATATTGTTATAGATACACAGAAAACAGTCAGGAGTTAATAGGAAAAGAGGAATTTTAAGAGTCGGTCATTGATAATCACTAGATCGTTGAAAATGAAAGGAAAAATGATTTGAAGCGTGTGGCATTCAAAGCCACGGCTCTCCCCATCCCCCCTCTGATCTCCTACATGGGCATTGGCTTATATATGATTAAATTATTTGTCAAAGATAATTCCTCTGACTTTTAATTTTAAATCGGTTTTTTTTCCAATGGAGAGCTCATGATATGGGGCTGTCAGTATTTCACTATTGTGACATGAATGCCTACGTAGCATATTAATTATCGTATGGAATGTTGCATATAATATTTTTGTTCTAAAAAGTGAATACAAAGTTACAATTTCTATATATATGTGAGTGTAACATATCTATAAAATATATCTAAGAAGTACCTAATAGTGAATTTTCACTTATACTTGAGTTTAGGTGCGAGAACGCACGTTGCACCGGCTAAGAGTCAACCAGGTACCCGTAGGCTTGCCGACACAAATATGACATCCCTCAAAAGAAAGCTGGAAGAACTCATCAGTAGTCGCCGAGCGGACATGAACAAGCTAAATTCGAAGTGGAGGACGATAGAAGAAGAATATTGGAGTGTAGTGCGGGCAATCAGAGAAGGAATATCTTTTCCTCCGGAGAAATTAGCAGAGTTGGAAGAGTTGAGCAAAGAAGTTGAAGAGATTCTTCTAGTTCCAGGAAGATTTCGGCAAGAGGCGACGGCACTTGTTAGATGTAGCAAATCATCTCCCTCGGTGACAATAGAATTAGTAGGCAAAGAAACTCGACGGAAGGTGAATGAGATTCTTTCCTATTTAATGCAGGACAGCGTTTCCATAATTGGCGTTTATGGTATGGGTGGAGTGGGCAAGACGGCCATTTTGAGGCATGTCTATAATAGACTCCATGAGGATCTTGCCTTGGATGTATTCTGGGTTGCTGTACCTCGGGAGTTTAGTGTGTATGCGCTACAAGAAGAGATCGCCAATGCCGTCGGACTGGACAATCTCTCAAATGAGAAGGACGTGAAGAGAAGGGCGGGCCTATTGTATGGACATCTGAATGTGAAGAATAGATCCATCCTAATTTTAGATGGCCTTTGGATGCATTTTGAAGTTAAGGATGTGGGAATTCCGGTTGAAACGGGCAAACTAAAGTTGGTAGTGACAACTCGATCACTAGATGTGTGTCGTATGATGCACTGTCAAAAGCAAATCAAGATAGAACTTCTCGATATGGAAGACTCTTGGAGGCTATTTTCAAAGACGCTTTGCTTTGCAGGAGAACTCCCTGGGGAAGTGGAACAAATCGCAAGGTCTCTTCTTCATAGGTATTATGGCCTGCCACTTGGGATCATTGAGATTGCAACTCGCTTGAGAGGAGTAGAGAAAGTGCATGAATGGAGAGGCGTGTTGGGAAAATTAGAAGACTCCAGGATGGAGCTTGACGTGTACAAGAGACTGCAACTCAGTTACTTGAACTTGGGTAATGCTCAAGTGCAACAGTGTTTCCTGCATTTAATACTTTGTTTTGGAGAAGTCCTTTCGGAAACTAATAGAGAGGATTTGATAGAGTCTTTCGTAGACGAGGGTTTGTTAGGTGAGATTGCCACTAGGCAAGGACTGCACGATCGGGGTAACACCATATTGGATAAAATAAGAGGGGCCTGCCTGTTGGATCTAGAAGAAGAGTATCAGTATCTACACCCGTTGACAAGGGACATGGCATTGGATATGGTGATGAGCACAACTCACATGGTTAAGGCCTGTATGGGGTTGAAAGAAATACCGGAGGAAGCATTATGGACCGATCGTCTAGAGAAAGTCTTTTTACGAGGCAACCAAATAGAAGAAATCCCAGACGGCATATCACCAAATTGCCCTAAACTGACGAGGCTGTCTTTGAATGACAATGTCATGTTGGGAGCCATCCACGAATCTTTCTTCAGACATCTAAAGGGGCTGACGGTTCTAGATCTCAGCAACACCGGAATCACGGAATTACCGGAATCCATCTCTCAGTTGGAGACCTTGGAAGTACTGCTACTGCGAAGTTGTTGGGCATTACTTTTTATTCCTTATGTAGGAAAGTTGGGATCCCTAAGAAAGTTGGACCTCCAAGGGTGTGCAAGTCTTGAAGAATTGCCAGAGGGCATGGAGATGTTGGTAAACCTGAGGTACCTCGCCCTAGATGGCACAAAGATCGAGACATTATCAGAGGGAGTGTTGGGGAAGCTGGTGAACTTACAATATCTTGCGATTAAAAAGCTGACGGCGGGAGAAGAGGTAAAATTAACGAAGATGGAGGCACTTTATTGTTCTATTCCCAATGTGGAAACGTTCAATGCATACATGGGGTCTCTCGAGCGAAATAGTTGCCGATGGTACAGGGTCGCGATGGGTGCACCAGGCGGTTTGCTCCTCTGGGGTATGAATGATACTGAGAGGAGTATACTCATCGATAGTTACGACCATATCGCTGCAAGTGTAGACGGAACAAGTGGTGATGGCTGCGCTCTGCTTCTGGAAAGTGTGCAATCGTTGGAATTGGTCAGGTGTCATAAAATGAAGAAAGTGATGGAATGGGAGTGGCTGACCACTCTCCTTCCAAATCTGGTGCAGATTGTAATATATAGTTGTGAGGAATTAGAGGAGATAATACGTGGGCCATTGCCAAGCGGAGCCACTTGTCGCCTTACATATCTTGGAGTAAATGGATGCAATAACATGAAGAGGGTGCTGCTGACGCAAGACATGTGGCTCCACCTCCCTTTCCTCCAAGAGATATCAGTCAAAGACTGCAAGGGCATAGAGGTGATAATAGGCACCGTTGCCAAGACGACACACTGTTCCTTCCCAAAGCTAGCAAACCTGAGTCTGCGGAATCTTCCGGAACTGAAGAGCATATGTGATGGGACAACGAGTTGCGATTCCCTCGAGTGGATTTCTATAGACAATTGTCCGAAACTGAAGAGTTTTCCTCTGCAGCTGCCCCTGCTTGACAATGGGCTCCCTTCTCCCTCCCCTTCTCTTCATGAGATTTGGATAAATCGGCAGACGTGGGAGTCGCTGGAGTGGGATCATCCCCTTGCCCGTCCTTCACTTGAACACTTTGTCAAGTTTCTCGGTAAGTCGCCCACAAATTTTACCACTTTTATCCTTTCCATCTTCCTTGGTCCCTTCTAAGGATCTACTCTCCCACGGCATGGGAAGTTCATTTTTTTTCCTGACTTTTATAGCAAGTGTCATACCACATAACTGTGCTGCACACTGATAAATGAATTCTATTTCAGCTTGGAAGTGTAGCATGATGGTCATGTTATTATTAAACATTAGTTGTTTCGGCGATGTTCAAAAATTAAAAAAAAAAAAAAAAAAAAGACTCCCTTAACTTTGAATGAATAACAATGGCAATAGTCCTTGCTCTTTCCTTTTTTGGCCAAGGCACTCTTCATACATTGGAAAGATGTTTCTCACACAGACTTTACAAAAAAAAAAGCCATTCTGAGTATACAAAAATTTTGCATATGCTGATATACAAATCCCTCTATTATAAGTGATCAGTTTTGTGGTCACAAAATGATCACGACATAGAGATAACAAATGATTAAGGACTGCAGAATTCTCATGCAAAAAAATTGAAATTGATCGTGACACCCTTGTTGGAAAGATGCTAAATCCTAGTAAAAGTAAATTTGATTAGGAAGTTCTACTTCGTAGGTTGGGATAGTTTAAGAGAGCATGTTAGATGCTTTTTTATCTTTTTCTCTTTGTTGCCTTTTCTGTTTTACCTCATTCCAGTACTTCTATTTTCACTTTCAAGTCCTTTTTTATTTTTAAATTGATCACTATTCACCATGAATACTTTTCATGGACTTCGTATTTCCAATTGCATTTTTTCACCCATTGAATTTCTTTCTGTTCGATTTGATTAAGTTCAGTTGGCCGGAGAAGTCTCTAATTTCTTTAGATTGTTGACGTTCTCTCTTAGATTGATTAGGTTTTATCAGTCAAAGAAGTCTCTGATTCCTTTAAATTGTTTTTGGAAGAGAAAAAGAAATGAGGGGTTAGCTTTCTGTAGAACCTTGTGATTTCTATGAGGGCTGTTCTTTTGGAAGCAAAAATATTGGACAGAAATAAGATGGGCGTAGGTATCAACAAGAGAATTGGCCACAGTTCAAGTTTTTCTAAGCTCTTTCAAAATGCACCTCAATATTTATATAGATTTTTCCATGAATAGTCATGGGGTGCACAGTGATATTGGGTATGAGTCCGAGAAAGGTCCTTGGGGGATCAATCGCGCAACAGCTATAGAAAAACCCCTCTCCCGCTCCCTTTCTCAACTGCTTTCTGGTCCTTTGGGCCCACTTAGCAAGTGACTAACAAAAGTTAATATTTCTGCCCCCAGATTGACGAAGCCGTAGAGGATCCCGTTGAGGATGAATCCTCTTCTGACGGCAGTGGACATCAAACTTATTGCCATTGCTACATCATCCTGCTCGATTGATGTTTAAAGTACTCTGAACCTTGTGATGACACGTGCTTAATTTATGCCTTCTTTTCCAATCTATGATTACTATGTCGTGTTTATGAATTTCTCGGTTTGGATTATCCCTTATTTCTACCTCGTTAAGCATCTCTCTTTCTATTTCTCTCTCCCCTACTTGAATGAATCGCATAAAGGATGGATCTGGATATGAATTAGATGATCTACTTAGAGCAAGTACAATCTACTGTGGGAGGTGCTCTTGGTTTGGTGCAGACTAGTGGCTATTTCACTCGACACAGAGCGCATAATGCCAGCTTTAATGGCATCCGCAATGTTGACTGTCTTAGAAATAGAAATTATCTGAGCAGCCAACTTGTCGTTAATGCTCTTGAGAAGGTTGTCGTGCAGAAACCCATTCTGACTGGAGCAGAGCTCCAAATATCTTGTCCTCTGGTACTCAGAAAGGTCAGAGTCAATACCAGTGCCATTTTCGACCAAGATCTATAACTAAATTTAGGACCTTATCATCTGAGAAGTTGCAGAAATAGTTAAACGGAACTAAAGGTAGATTATGTACTTTCAGGTGTAAGTTCCACGTAGATGACCGGTGACCAGCGACTATAGGGCAGCAGATAATCCACTTCCCTCAATTAACGTTAGATTTTCTCCTCTTCTTTTTGTGTGGTTTATTGGCATCTTAGCAGCTTACTGGTTGGGTATGTCATGCTCAAAAGTTTTCCGCTTACCGCTCGCTCAACATTTGCAAAGATTGCATCACCGGATCGAGGACCGACGGTGGGCATTGACTGATGAAGAGAGGTCAACTGTGAGCCTCAGGGATCTATTCATCGGCCAAACTGGCTCTGGTTGGATGGTGAGTCACTTAAACCAGAATTTGTTTGTATCCTCTGCCAAATGGAAGGAGAAAAAACTCCATTAGAAAAAACTGGAAGATAACGCGTCACTCAGAGTATTCACGAAAGGATGCTAGTCAAGATTTGCTACGAATGGCAGATTATGTATGGACTATTCTCACAAAGCTTATGACGGAGACAGCACAACTAGCAACTGGAATGTCCCAAAGGCATAAAATTTCGTTTCTGGGATTTTCTTGGTTAATGATTTTCGCGTCTTCCAACATGCCACTGTGATTGAAGATTCCAAAGATAATCAGCTGCCTGCTTTAATAGGATTCGACAGCTGTGTTCACGGCATTGATGACGAGGTTTGTCGAAATTACGGATGATGAAAACCGCGGGAATTCGCAAAGATTATTGAATGAAAAGGAAGGTTGCAATTTCGCAGAGTCACCAATCAACCCATCTCAAATTGTGAATAATGTCGAGCTGAACAATAGAGCTCATGTTGAAAAACCGAAACTGAGAAATCCCAGTAAGGTAATGAAATGAAAATTCCATGCTGAATTTAAAATCAAGAAATCCAAGAAACCTGATGCATGGATGAGGTGGATGAGGCTTAAGGGAAAGGAAAGAAACCTCAAACGTTTCGAATTCCAATTACAGATGTCGAAACAATCGGTAAAGTCATCTTCAATACTGAAATCTGAGACAACAAGACCGCGCACTTCTTGACGGCACTTAAAATATCCCAAGATTCAACCTACCAGTTCATGACCCGCGAATTCAAACCGAAAGAGACGATTCCCACGAGCTTGATCGAGCGTAACTTGGGTGGATGTGTTTGATTTCCCTCGTCCGGAGGAGCAATGCTTCGATTGGGCTCGATCGTGTCCCATAGGAGATTATGGGGCCAAAAGGCCCAATAATCACCCACATCCCTCTTCAACTCTCAATCCTTTTCAGACTATTCTGAGGATCCTACATGAAAAAAAAATATATCCTACATCGTACGGTCTCGTTACTAGGTCGCACCCCTTGAAGCGTCGTGTCGTGATAAGTTCAAGCCTTAACAACGAAGGATAGCTCTTTTGGGACCATCCGTAAGCTTTGCACCACGATAAATTACCTAGTTACACCAGTGAGCATTAGGCACACTCGACTCATGTGAGTCCATATCACATTAACCGTTACATTAGGTGAGTTTCTTGTGAGTCCTATCTTCTAGAGGTGAGCACGGGAATCGGACTAAACTGACTGATTTTGGGCGGATCTCAGTTTTGGAAATTTGGAAACAGTGATTATTGGTCCGATTCTCGATTTTAGGTATAAATCCACCCGCCCAGAGCGGATCGATAGTTATTTTCTATAATTTTTGTTATTACAAAACACTTCTCAAAACCCTAATTTCCCATTCTCTCTCGCCGCTCATCCCTCTCGGCTCTCACTCAGTTTCACGCCTCTCACTTCTCATTCTCCGTATCAAGCGGTCACGCGCCTCCCTCATTCAATGTTTGTTTTGTGACCCACCTTTTCCTTTAATTTTCTAAGAACGGAAATTCCAATGGAGATTGGGAATCCTAGAGAGCCTCCTTGTTGGTGAACGGAGAAGCAAGGGGTGAGAGAGTTGGGAGGATGTCTGTTTCCATTTATGGCGGTGTTGCAGAGTACTACAAAGTACGAGAGTGTGCTGACTAACGAGTGAGTGAAGAATGATCCTCCATGAAAAAAAAAAAAAAAGATATCCTTGCTGGCTCTTGGACCCACTTGGAAATCGAACCGGATCGGTTTATCCGGTCCGATTCCAAGATCAAGTGGTCAGTTCTCAGTTTCAGAGTGAGAACCAACCCACCATGGAATCTATCAATCCTATTATCTTGTATAACGGTGAATGTGGCCTGCTTTATGTCATTGTTATTTGCCATCTTGTCGACCACCAAGGTTGAGTCACTACTTTATGTACCTGCATTTTATCTGTTCATGTTTGTTCATGAATATAATATTTTACTTCCATAGAAAAATAAGAGGCTAGTCGGTCACCTACCATCTAAGCATCTATGAGCGGTGGGATGAAGATTAGGATTAACGATAAGGTTTAAGTTGGTCGAAAGACATCATCAGCATTTGGAGATGAACATAACATCGTTCAACAAGGTCCCCATTATTAAAATGTTAACGTATGCCAAACTTTGTTTAGCAGTTGGCAAGATTAGTTTCAAATTGAATTTTATACTTCAAATATAACCAAGCTGCTCGTCTTCTCTTTATTTGTTTATATAGAAATAAAAAAGTTCTCTCTCTCATACTTATATGTTGTGGAAAAAATAAAAGAAAATTTCAAATAAGAACATTAAGTGCCATAATTTTTTCATAAAAAAGCCCAGAATGGACCTTGTTTCAAATAAGTGCATGAAGTGGCTGTGATAGTTTCAAATAATGACATAGTCTTGCCGCCTGGCCATTCATCAAGGATGTTTTCGTCCAAAGATAATATTAAATTATTTATTTTTCTTTTCTTTTCTTTTTCCCATTTCTTTTTTTCAACTATTGTGCCCGGCTACCCTCGTCGGCCATTGGGTGAGGGCTGTGGCCCTTGCCCAAGCCTTTACTGGTCATGGGTGGCTTGGGCGGCCCCACCCGGGTAGGGTGAGGGTCGCCTCACCTAGGCAAGGCGGTCCCTTGCCTGTGGTCAGCAAAGGCGACCCTCTCCTAGCCCTCTCTGGTGACCAACCATCATCTAAGAGTGGCCAATGATGGTGACTAGTAGAATTTACTTATTATCCAGATAAAAAAATTAAGAGGCTTTTAAAATATATCACTCAAATACACTCAATATGACCAGATTCTCCTCCCAAGTCCCGATGCAGTCTTTTCAGGCGAGAATTGTAAGAAGGTAAACAAAATTTACTCTGTTTGCAAAGACCAAGAATCTGAACCAGCCTGAATAAACTCACTGTAATGAAGGATAAGCACTACACACCATAAAAACCAAACACCAGAATTCACTTCAATGTTTATTCAACGAAATCTTCCCAAACCAATGTTTATTTCTCTTCCATTAAATAAATCATTTCTCATGCAAACACTAACCGGCACTGCCCACTAACTAGAAATACCAGAAAATCAATTTCATTCTCAACCCTCCCCGTACGAAACAGAGTACAACTCAGCCCATAGAGCAACAACATAAATCCCCACCTGCCAAAAGCAACCCCTCAAATTCGTACACACCCTAGACTTTAGCTTGATATCCTTCTTGGTGGTCTTAGCACCCTCAGCATTGAGAGTCACATTAGCACCCACCATTAACTTGTACCTCTCGGTCTTCCAAACCATGATCTGGAACCTCACTGCAGTGGCCAAATCCACCCTAAAGACCAAAGACTCGTTCTTGGCCACAACATCAGTGCAAGTCATCCCAAAAGTCTCCACACTTGCATTTTTCGTGGCCTTCTTCTTATACACCTGGTAAAATCCAGGAATGGTCTTGAGCCACTCGGTCTGATTCGTATCACTGTAGTAATAGAGGGTGAGGTTCACGGGGTCGTAGTGGATGCCCCTCTCTTTGTTGCCGTTGCTCAGGTTCACGTCCAAGAAAATGGGGGTGCTCGTGGGAGTGTCCGAAGATCTGTTGAATGCTGGGAGGTAGAATTGCTGGATAGAGCAACTGGGCTTGGACGGGCTCTCCGGGAGCCACGTGAAGAGAGCTGTGAGGACGAGAGAGAAGATGAAGGCACGGCACAGCAGCAAAGGCAACACCCACCGGAGTTCGACATGGTCACCGGAGGAGCTCGCCGGCGGCGAAGAAGGCCAAGAAAAGGAGAGCTGCAAGTTGTTTTTTTAATCTTGTGTGGTGTTGCCAGTGCTCGAGAGCTGGTGATGGGTGTCTGCAATGGAAAACAAGAATGAGCAAAGTGAAAGCGCACGCGCAGCAGACGAACACAGTAAGCAATGCCCGTTTACTTGGGGTTGACCATAATGTGGCTTGCGATTGGTTGGAAAATACCGACTTCTTTTTTTGGGTCGGAAACTATACCAACTTGTATAAGGAGATATTAAAAAGAAATAAAAGATGCTCGGTCTACCCATCAGAAATGCGGACACGGTCCCCGATAGCAAATGTAACAAGATGACCTAATGTAACAATGAACATAGCGTGTAAGAAAGCGACCATAACTTTAAATTAAGAAAAGTGACGAGATGCTTAATACCAATTCAGAAAGCATGTTCCGAGCTATGTTGACCCTAGATGCCCATTTAGATTTACAGTCATTTCAGACCTCAAAACTCATTATTTAGGCATTTCTCGAGGTACTTTTTAATTTTTGTCATTTTTTCACTTCTTTTTAGGCTTTTATTTATTTTACCTTGCTTGAGATTATCTTTGCATTTTCCAGTAGTATTAGTAGGGTATAGAGGTGTGCAAAAGAATCGGAAACAGCCCGGACCGTCCGGAACCGGACCAGATCGGCCCAGAACCGGCGATTCCCGTGAGGACTAGTCCGGTTCCCGATTCTAATTTACTAAAACTGGTGAGTATCTGTCCGATTCCCAGTTTTAGGCGTGAAACCGCCCACCTGTCCACCCGGACCGGGCCAGTAAAATATATATATTCATACAATTTTTTAGAAATATTTCAACCAAAAAAAAAAAGAAAACATTTTTAGAAAAATGAAAACCATAAAATCCCTAATCTAAAACTCGATCCTCAACTCCCATTTCCTCGTGGCTGTGCCTTTAGCCGTTCATCGCCTCCCTCTCTCACTCTCGATCACCTTCATTTGTGTGAAACTTGGTGGGACCGGTGCCATGGACCCACCCAGAAACCGGACCGGACCGACGGTCGGTGCCATGGAGAAAATTTCTTTCTTTGACGCTGATCTCAAGGAAAAAGGACTACATTCACAAAAACTTGACGTTAAAGAGCCCGTTAGCTCCAGGGACTGAAATGGGCCGATTAGCGAGGAAGGGAGATTGCAACTGCGGCGGGGGACTTGCAGCTGCATATAGTTGCTGCCCACCAACTGTAGGTTGATGCACAAACGGTTGACCAGGAAGAGTTCCTGCAATCAAAGATGAGATGCTTCCATCACAGTTTTTAAAGCTCTTCAAGACTTAAATGAGGTTGTAAAAATAAAATAAAATATAAACAGCGTAGCTCCTCCGTACGATCTTCCCAGACAAAAAGATAGCTCCCATTGGTATTCATCCTCTCTTTAGTGAATATAGCTAGCACAACGGAGCTAAATACCAAAAACTGCGGTTTATATAATCCATTGTTGCAAAGATCTTGCAAGCCACAACTCAAAGATCTGTTTAAGATACAATAGGTAGACGATGTTGGTAAAGTTCACTTCAACTGCATGTTTTTCCCCTGGCATTTCCCTTTGAGCTGAGCATATAATTTGGCCTGAAAAGAGTTCCCATGTATCCTCTAATTCTATACCGCAACCATTACCTAAAGGAGAGTATTATGTTCCTCTAATTATCTTAAGCAGATAAAGTGAGGTTCAACATTTTAAATGACATGATGCCCTACCGTTGTAGACACACACCTCAAATTCTCATGTTCCAAAAATCTCCAGAAACACAAAATATCAATTTGCAGTTCTTTGAACGTAGAGACATGCATTACATTGAAATTCTCTCATTACGTTGGTGCTTTGGAAACTGGACTTGACTTATGGTCGGCAAAGGGCACGGAAAAGCTGGAGAGATGACAGTTCCACTCCGAACCAGATCCTTCAAGAATGAAATTAAAAAATGTAAAAAAGTAGGACACCACGTCATCGTATATTCTCAAACAAGGGGGATGCGCTGACGTAGTACAAAGTCTTGGTAGAAAGACCACCAAACAAAACAGCAGATAAATGTGCACAACCCACCAGATTAAGTGCATTACCCGGTAGACTCTGTTAAATATAAGAATGAAGAGAGAACTTGTGCAACTAAATTCACAAACCCTATAGATAATAACCGACTCGGACAAAGAATCGCAAGAAAAATGTTTCTGTCGCAGAACGTGTCTTACCTGGGAAACAGGCATATATACAAGCTGACCCATTCGTCCAACCATGACCTGAAAAGAAAGATACGAGTTTGGATATAATAGCCAGATGGGGCATTTATAAGGAAAAACATAACGACTGGACATGAAAAGCATCTAACTACTACTTACAGCTTGAGGATTAGGGTGAACAAAAGTCTAAACCTGGTGGAAGAGCATGATGCTGACCGCCATACCTAAGTAGGTGCGCCCTGCTCCCACTATTTCCAGCAAACTGCAAAACCAAAAGCCCAGTCAATTTACAAAAGAAGATTCTCTCTCTCTCTCTCTCTCTCTCCCCCCCCCCCCCAAAACTAGAAAGAAAGATTTCTACAAATAATTTTGGGTGGATAGAGCTCAAGAGTCGAAGCATAAAAATAATGTTTGCCATATATTTCAAGAGTTGAAGTACTGCATGTCCTATGCCAGAAAAGAAAAATTGCTTTAACTCTGTTAAGAAAGACAACTCACTGTAAACTACAAATTACTTACAGCCTGCGAAATAGCACCTATGTCGCCGTTTCCAGCAGTGAAATTATTGTACTGTACAACCTTAGCAGGCACAGATGGCTGGGGTACATAAGTGCTGGTACCCACTTCTGCTTGAGCCGCTGCAACAGGCAACAGAGGTGAGGCACTAGGCACGTAGGACATTCCTGTTTGTACCAAGGGTGGAGTTGCTGGTACAGGTTTTGTGAGAGCAGGAGAAAATATTTTTGCTCCAGGGTTAAGTTTAGATTCCCGTGATAATTGATAAAATGAAATAAAAATCTTTGTTAGACAATAGAATAACGTGGAGGAACAAGCAACTAAACAAATTACATGCACAGAAGCCAGTTTTTCGTTCAATATAATAATTAGTTCTATTTTACATACTTCCTCAGCTCATCTTCTCTCAAGTTGCAAGACCGCACTGTTACATGCTGACCTGATTATTTGCATTAGCCATATGGTTTACCCTTGCCCTTTTGTTTGATTCTGGACCTTGTAAATGAACCTTGTCAGTTGGAGATGTCAAATAACTAAGGCTTCTGCCGGATGTACCAACAACAGATAGAGTAGAAGCCAAACCGCAGCCAGAAGCAGCATTCTCTGATGAAACTGGCCTACAATAGGTCTCATTATTTGATTTTGCAGGTACAGAAGCAGTAACATGGGATCCTTCATTAGGTTGCAATGGTGGCAGCAATTCTGAATGTGTTCCATCAACAGGTTTTACTAGGGAATGGCAAGCATCCACTGTATGAAAATCAAATTGAGATTTTAAAAGGAAATAGAATAAAAACTTCAGTAATTCTCAGCAAGGAAAAGCTTAAAATAACTAGATTGTAAGCTCACAGAGCTAATCTACTGAGAGCGTCATGGCAAAAACCTACAGGTGCAAGAATATCCATGTGCATCTTCGTTGGTATCCAGACAAAACTATAAAACGTTTCCAACAGCATGCTGTGCAGAGCCAACAGCTTCTAAAAGAGTTCCTAAAAACCAGTGAGAAGCATTTCAGCATCTCATACAAAATAAGCCACAAAAGCCCCTTAGTGAACCACTATAACCCTATTTAGGCTTTCCCAATACTATGTTTGGTAATTTAAGGTTGGAGGAACACAGAGAGAAAATTACAATGTCCCTTTCCTGTCTGCATGTCCACTGAAGAGAAACAATGCACAGTTAGTAGCGGGACTGAACACGCCTTGTCTCATACACTTTCAAAAGTAAAGTGAAGGCAATAGTAGACACGTGCAAGGGAAATGGATTCCCTTCAAATTCCACCCAAGTCTGGAGAAATGGAACGTGGGCCCAAGAGGAAAAACACTTCTCTTAATTTGCATTCAATTAGCCCAGCAAAGAGAGAACAAAATCCTTTTAAGTAATAATCATCGAGAGTGGACTTACAGCTTGGACTCGAACCTTGCATTGCAGAAGCCTGCAATATACGACCGCATGTATAAATACATAAGTCATTATTATAAACTCAATTCCACTGAATAAGACATATGCCTCATCTCGACAAAACATACTTTATCACCCCCTTGATTCTCAGACACCCTGTTAGAATCATCCTGTTTGACTTGTGGATTTTCATCAACCTGTCTGGAAGAAGTGACAGAAATGACCTCAGGAAGAGGGAGAAACTGAAATAAAACTGAATGGATAGAAGCATCCAAAAGAGACACATGCAATGAAATGGAACAAAGGCACAGAGCTACAGCATAACCGTCCAATCATACTTTTATTCTTCTCCATGTGATAAAATAAAAATTCATTATAATGCAGACTATGCCAGCAACCGTGGATGCCCCCAAGGCATTATGCTAAAAATCAGACTAAGTCAAGAAGCACAGAGGTAATACCTTCCATTTGCTGATGCATCGAAAGCTCCTCCTCCCTGAAATAAGCGTAAGAATGGTCAGTGAAAAGGAGTAGCTTATTGCATGCCAGTAACAGAACTGGATAACCATTAGCTTCTCCAGTGCATAGAAACATTGAATGGAATCTCCGCAAAAACAGAGGAAAGTTGCAGGCCAACAATACCATAATGTGGATTTTCCTGCCCCTTTTTTCAATTCCTTCTTCGGAGACATTTTCGACCACTTCGATTGACATACTTCTTCCCTCATTCTCATTTTCTGCTTGTCTTTGCGAACTGACTTTGAAGGTTCCACATGTATCTCCATCAGTCAATCCATTTTCAGATGGAACTGAAGTCCTGCTTAAGCAAAGTAAAAGTAGAGTCCGCGACATTAGTAAATAGCTTCCCCATTCTTAATATCGTGATAAATTCAGTATATGAAAGTAGAACTAGCAGAACCAGGCATTTCTTCACTAAAAGTCAAATCAGCTTAAGATTACATAAAGGTACTCTATCTAACTAACACCAGTGTATTTTCAAAGTTCCATTATTTTCAGGTTATCTCCAGCAGCATATGAAAAAATCAAACAATAATACCTTTACTGAAACAGTACTTGGTTTATAAGTATGCTTTCACAGCAAGTTATGATACGTACTTTCTTTGATGGGGTCTCCTCTTGCTTGTGGTAATAGTACCGAACCTATTGTCCACTCTTGCGACGTCGTGCGAAGCAGTTCCAATTGCCGATTCTGATTCATCCCCAGCTATAGTTCCAGTAATGCCATCAGCTGGAAGCTCTACTCCCTACAGCAGAAATGTCACTTTAGCGCATCAATTTGTACTTCATTAAAATACTCAGCACCATATAAGAAGTGC